GTTCAGAGTACATTAGGTGGACTCTTAACACAGGACGTGTATTATTAAACAATTTAATAAATATAACACTGCATGTTAATAAATAGTGCAAAGACATATAACTAAAAGACAAAATTAAATAAACATAAAGACACGTTTTCTAAGGTTGTAAATAATTTAACTACTTACGGAAATACTTTTTAAAATACTTTTTTTTCATATAATATTGGTCTTTATTTTTGTCAGCTAAATTCTCTTCGAATTTCTTAGTCCAGGCCTGTAATGGATTCAATGTCCTTGCTTCTACGACTGGTGTCGGTAATCTGGTTCTTCCCAACAAACCCTGAAGCGCTTGTAATAAAAACGATAGTAGAGACATCGACACTACTATGTTAATCGGATCAAATCCAATCGAATGATGATGATACGTTGGAGCTCCATAGTTTGCATTCCCACTTACTCCGTAGCCCGAAGACCCATAGTGATTGTTAAAATTTCTCGATTCCGCAATCACATCAACCGAAGTATCGATCAATTCATTACTTTTCAGTACTGGTGATTCGATTTGATGTCCGTCTCTGCCGCTATTCGTTTTGATATCGAGTTTTCTTTTATTTAGTTTGGTGTCTTGTTTCATATTGTCTATTTTCTCCAACACAGATTGGGCGTTTGTCTGAATTTTCTTGAGCAACGTCTGGATTTTAGAACTTTGTTCCTTTATCATGTTTGCAACAAATACTTTGAAGTTTTGAACTGAAGACGAGGGAGGATTATTATTTTGTATATCTGCTTTGACTGTTGTTAGCATTAATATTATTATGAATAATGCGAGTGATAGGAGCGACATTGTTACAGTCACTGTTATACAATTAATGCTTTTCAAAGACATTAACCTTGCTTCGTATTTTATGATGAAATGAAAGTCCTAATTTGAAGTATCGTTTTATATAAGGCTGGTTTAAGGTCTGCTACGTTGGATAATAATCTGTCGAGTAAAATACGTTATCGTGACATATGACCCAGCTGATCATAGGCCATTTCACATTGTTAGGAGAAATGTAACAAAGGTTAATTCGTAATTTGTATGATGTCGCGTGGAACAAAGAAAGTTGAACTAATTTTGAACAATTAGGTACTCTATTACTACGCAGAAAACTCTGTACCTATATAACATAAGATGAAGTTCAAATGTGTCCAATTTTGATTCGCATCAGTAGAAAATGAAACTTATTATAAAATGAGAATAAAATACTAAAACTATTATTTTATTTTAAGTATTTTTGCAAGACAAAATAATTCATAATTCGTAGCTATTTATATTCTCTGGTGTAACCTGCATAATAGGCAATAGTGCATGTTGTGCACTCTGCAGATGATACGCCATCATTAGAAAAGTGCAGTAAACTGACATGCATTCCGAGCGCAATGAACTCCCCCATAAAAATGTAATATGAGGTCCCCTACACCGTAGTTCAAGTTTTATGCAACAGAGGGCAAGCTTGTATCGCGTGTACGCAACATATAAAATGAAGAACAGCGCCATCTATTTAAAAGCGCTTGCACTAATAATGAACGCTCGTTAAGTAGTAAGTAAAAGCTCTCCACCGTACAACGAGCTTTAAGTTCAAGTATTAAACTTATAGATGGCGCTGTTAAAAGTGCGTGTACGCAGATCTTAGTGCCATCTACTAAAAGCTTTTGGTACTAATTATATTTTTGTACAGCGAAGTTGGAAAAGCTTCTCTTTTGTACGAAGAGATAGCGCTATAAAGTTTTATTATGAAGATAATGTAAAAGAATATTAGGTACTGGTAGAGAACTACATTGTTTAGGGTTATCAGATTCTACAATAATTACGATTAGCTAGAAATTCTTAACATAGAGTATTAATTATGAGTTTACTTAATTATTACATGACTGCCTCGTTGACCGAGCGGTCACAAGTGCGACTGCCTGCAAGGGGTCTCGGGTTCGATTGCCAGGTCGAGCAAATATAACTGGGTCTTTAAAAAAAATCTCAGTAGCAGCATGAAGTCTGGAATTGTGCCCAGTATATGGCAATAGGCTCATCCCTGTTACATGGTACTCATAATCATACATAACATAACATCTCGCCTTTTATCCCCAAAGAGGTAGGCAGAGGTGCACATTATACCACTGTACAATGTAAAACCCACTTCTCACTATTTATGTTGGAGTTGTAGGACTCACAATCATAACATAACTCTGCCTACCCCTTCTAGGATAAAAGGCGTAATGTTATGTTGAATTATAGTTTCTTAAGATTAAAAATAATACTTAGACAATATACGAGTAATAGAACCTTGGAAATTAGTTAACATACCGGTACCGATTTATCACACCAGTCCACCACTCATGACCCAGCAATTGCGATAAACAAATCATATTTAACAAGATAAAAACAGGCAACAATTTCCAGAACAATTAAATCTAGCAAGAAAACAAAGAATAGAGTAATTCTTGTACACTGCAACTGCATTACGCTGCATGCAAAGTAATAAAACGAGCGCGGTAGCCGTTCAAAGAGGAGTAATTATTCATCAGCCGAACAAATCTTAACCAAACAATACAGTGCTGATGCATAATTACGGACAGATAAAGGCCCCGATGTAAGTACAAAGTGGTAAGTGGGAACTCTCAAAATAAATGGTTGTGGACTACGATATTAATTCCTCGTTTGTCCGAGTCGCTACGCGGCTATTTTTTTAAAGGCACCGTAGGGTTAATTGTAACGAAGCGGCATTCGGACAGTGAAATATTTGGAGCGGCGCTGCAGTAAGAAGTTTGAAGAAGGTATTTCGGGGATTCGCTTTTTTTCCGAGTAAATTAAATTCTTTGCTGTGGTACGATTTTGGGCTCTTATATCGCTTAGCTGTAAATTCAATTAAGAGGTGAGTATTAAATTGTTTTATTGGACACGATTTTATCAAGAGCAATTTTGGTAAATGCGCTGATGTTTTGTTGACTATATGTTTATTCCTAACTAAATGTTTGGTTTAACTTTTCATTATCATTATCAAACATTTTTGTATACCTACGTATTTTTATGTAGTTCCCAGACACCTACACGATAGACTAAATATATGTACATAAGTATGCTTTATTTAACTCAGTAGGCTTTACCAAACATTACTTAAGTACTTGGGTATAGTTTGCACACAAGAAACTGTAGTAACTACTTACCTACTCTACAAAATATTGTTCCAAAAACTGGCTGTCAGCTAACAATGTGAAAAAATGCTAAGTATAAAAATACTTCATTAAACTAACTTTTATCTACCGTGTTAATCAATGGGCGTGGGCTAGTAAAATCTGATAGTGGGATTGAAAAATGCTATATACCGAGGACACACAAGAAAAAAGAATAACTACAATAATGGACCTAAAGTCTATTTTTGCTTGAAGACACAGGTGGAACATTTCGATTGTTACAAGCCAAACAGCAGTCTAAGCAAACTGGAGTTATAATAACGACAGTAGATTTATTGGTACATCCTAACACAATTAATTCAGAATTAAGTCGTTGGATCTATGAACATCATTCTTGTATAATGTGGCTACTGAATGGCTTATGATACACAGAATTGGCTATTTAATATTAGCATGGGCAAGTTTAATGGTCAAGCAATAAAATTTTGATAGCCCTGTCTTAGAATTAATAAAATATATTTGGAGTCCAGCTGATTTAAAGCCCATTTTAAATCTGCTTGTCTCGCATTATTGCTGCTAGATATAAGAAAACTGCCAGTAAAATCGTAAAAAAACTATGGTAATATTTTTTATTGTCATTTTATTGACGATAATCAGCAGCCTTCGGTGTTTCTACATAATCCGATTTTATATTGATATCCATTTTAATTCATTTCTGCGTTAGGAATTAAAATATAGATGCTTACGCGGCAGGATATTCGCTATCCGCTAGATATACGAGTTGAATTTAATTATCTAACAGTAGTTAATTATATAAATTTTTAATAGTCCCATAAATAATTTACATGTTACACGAAAACTATTTTGTATTGTTTTTGGTTGTATCTAGGCGCGGAGATAAGATCACAACACAGTGGGCTCGTATTCAATTTGCCGGCAGCGCAGTTGTTGAAAAATAATTAAAAATGCAATTAAAATTCACCATAAATCCGTCAGCCGCCCCGCCTAGCGTGTAAACAAACTCAAATTAAAACCAAACTATAAATAAATGCGTCGTTATGTTGTTTTAGTGTAATCGTATATCGACGCTCCTGGATTTTAATGGTTTTGTTACGGTGACACCCAATCACACCGTATTGAATATCTAATCGAGTCTCCTGCCATTTCCTTTCCAATAAATCACTCTTGTGTTTATAATTTTCTGCTTCCTTATTAGATTTCTAGATCCAATTTTCCAGAGATATAACGATATCTTATTCATTAACTCGCGAAATAATTATTTTGTCGATATATTTTAAGACTTGCGAGTTAATGACGAAGCGATACTTAAAGCGCGAGTAGGTGCCTTAAAGGCACTTTAGAATTAATTCACATTAATTATAGAAACAATAAATACTTTTATGTTGGCAATAAACGCGTTGCATTTCCGTTCCAAAGATTATAACATAGAAATAATTTATAGTCTATAGCCGGAGAATATCTTTGTTAATTAACGCGAAATTAATTATTTCGCGAAACACGTTCGGTGTAATAGTGCAGTCGGTTCGCGAATGAGGATTATAAAATATCGGTCTGGCAATCAAAATTTTCTCTCACGGCTACATCCCATCTCTGTCGAACGTCCAAGTGTGAGAGAGATGTATCAGTTACTAGGAACACAGTGAAACAGGTGCCAACGTCTTTTATAGGGGCAGGTGTATTTGTTTAAAGTATCAAATCGTCCAATTAATACCTTCATAAAGAAGACCTTTTGTATCGATCCCGATAATTCCGGGGTATATTATACAACTTTTTGTTATATAATTTGACCAATCAATGGGTTATTAAACTGGGACCAAAACGACAGCAAAAACTTTTGGATCGTTTTATTGTTACAAAACTATTCAAACGCTATTAAAATAAGACACTTGAGCTAATGTATGCCCATGAATTAAAGGGTGGAATTTAAATATTCATATTTAGTATGCATGGCAATTGTAATAAAAAAAAATGTCAGTTATGTAAACGACGTAAAACGAAACTAAATTGAATAGTAAAATTTCACCCTGTACATACAATTTTAATCCAGCAATATCACTTAAAGCCATTTAATTAAAACGCCGGCGTTATTTCATATTTTAGTGGTCAGTCATCTAAAAAAACGTTTTTGTTCAGACTGTTTTTCATTTCATTGTAAATGCAATGGATTTCACTTAAGTCGATAACTTTTTATTATAAACAATTATATTCAGTCATATTTCGATTCCGTTTAAAGCGAACACATTTTTATGGTGTAATATGTTAAACAAATACACTCTATATAAAAAAATATTATAACTGAAAGGGAAACGTATAAAATTTTACATATAATGAAAAATATATGAAGTCAAGGATAGCTTAAACAAAAATAATTAATAATTTATTAATTAGTAATTTTTGCTAAGTGCTTTCAATTTCTCTAGTGAAAGAAGTTAAAACAGAAAATACGAATTAGCTAATCTATTCATATACACTAAGCTTCTATCAATTGGCTAAATCAATTAAGTCATAAATTGCTTAGATAGTAGAATTTTCACAATAGAGTAAAAAATAATCAATCAATTAGATAGTTTAAAATTAAAATAAATGCAAATACGTAATTGGACACGAAGACTCATCGTAATTTTATCTTTAAAAAAAAGAAAAATCAAAAGAAGAGACCTAAAAAATCAATATTGAGCAAAGTTAGCAAAAAGTAAAATATTGAAGCTTAAACTAAGATTGATTGGCTGCAGCCGATGCTGCTGCGGTTGCTGCAGCAACGCTCGCGTTCGTGATTGGCGGTTGCGGCATTAGGAGATCTGCTAAGCGGCCAGCCTCACGAAGGCCAGATAGGAAGGCACCGTGGACAGTCGCCGGGTAGTTGCGCATTGTGTGTTCACCTAGATAAAAATAAACAATTATAATTCCAATATTTGTTATTCAACAGAAAAGTCAACAAACTAAAGATCTATTACTTCAGAAGATAGCTTTGAGCCGGCAGATTTTTCTCTTATATTTCAACCAAATAAAATCCGGCCTGCGATAAGTATGAGTACCTATATCAAGCGCAAAAAGATGCGGTGGGAATTTTTGTTTTATAATATGGAAGAAAACGGAAAATGACATATTATTATATTGATATATTAACGGGAAACTTCATGGCATGGCGTCTGTATATTTATAAGGAACTGATACTAACTCCAATTCAGACTACACAACACAAAACAAACAAATAATTTTAACCTGTAAACAGCCGAGTCATAAAATGTAGCGTACAACTATCTATATGATTGTTTACAACATTTTGAAAGCCGCACCTGTTTTATATTCCTGACGCATAAAAATCTCACGAATCCATGTGAGGTGTAAAACATTACATAAAGTGTACATAACCGTCACGGTTGTGACTGCCGAAGGGTTAGAGGTGTAACGTTCCGGCTTCGTTATTAGGTCCCATGTGAGAGGGCCTACTCTACTTTTTTGGAAGGGAGACGGTACAGGAGAACAGGATTTATTGTTGTGTCTGGGGATAACGAACACATCGCAATCCATAAAATTAACGAGATCATGTCGCGTGGACGTATTGTGTATGATTTGGAAAATGTATTCGTACAGTAAATATAGTAAGATCAGTAGTAGTAACATAGTAGTAGTAGTAGATCAGATGCGACATTTCTATAATAGTTTAATACATGAATTAAAGTATACTAAATAAGTATTCTCAAATATATTCTTACCAGCAAAGAACAGTCTATTCTCTCCAGGTGCCCCTGGAACTGGGGCTGCCAATAGATCGTAGTCGGTACCAGATGAACCAACAGCCACAAAACTGTAAGAGCCACGAGCGTATGGATCTGCGCGCCATCTATCACGTAAAAGAAATCACCATAAACACATTGTAACTGCCGACTAGAGGAAATCATATTAAGGTTCTCAAACTACGAAACTGACTGTATTTGTAGACACTATAGAGATGGTTATGGCTAAGCAAAGTAAGCAAATGTTCATTAATATTTGAAATTCAACAGTAAATCAACGAACACATCCGATCTGATAGGTTTCCTGCAAATCGGGACTTGCATCTGTGGATAAATTGGGTCGAGGACTCCATGCACCAGAAGATGGAATCGGACCCCTTTGCCAATTTATCGTATTGCAGATCGTGTTTAAAATTAGAGCTTATTTCGGCACCTTTTTAAGTTACTTACCTGGTGACAACACATTCTTTCGGTTGGGGCACTGCAGCGTGGCCAAAAATACTCTTCAAAACGGCGATGCATCTCCCGACAATGACGTCATCCGTGACATTTTCCATCACAGCTGCTGCTTCCCCTGCCACCAGTGCCAACAAAACCGGTGCACTGTACAGGTTCCAAAAAAGGAACAATTCACCTAGGATAAAAACACCCAAGAGTTAAAATTAAAATTCAAGTATTCATAAACAGTAGCGAGAACCTGTATTTAAATTTTGTTCGTACAAATTGGCTTGTTGCTCTAAATGCGATAATGAATACTGTAGGACCTTTATTTTACATTTAGTAATACGTTACGGATTAATCAAACTTGTTATACCTTCGTTACAATAAACGTTCACAAGTTCTAGCCTTGAGGACAAACGATTAATTAATTTGAGTTCGAATCGAGGTTCAAAGCCAGTCTCCTGTATACTTCATAATTGTTACCGAACATTCTTGTGGGTGAGTATTGCCTGACTATAATATTCTAGTTAAAGTCACGGTATTGTTAAATAGAACGTCAAACGTGCGCTGAATTGATTTCAACTGTTCATATTTACAATACAATACATACTCGTTAGTCAGAATGTATGTTTTACATTTGTAGAAGCAACACAGATTGTAATCTAAAGTACTCCAAACTATTGGAATTAATTCTGATCGTCTGATACATAAGAAAAAATAAGGTGGGCGAGGATTCTCACATAACTCTTTACGCGTCTAAAAGAAACAAGAACATCAGATAGCTGTCCTTAAGCGGCGGGCCTACACAGGCCGAAAACATTAAATTGGCCACGATTTAAAAAAAATCACCCGCGATACATTGTTCCGGCATTCCCAGAGCAAACGTGGGGGGCTTAATGAAGTTAGTAGAGTATACAACAAAGAGCTAAGGAGGTGAACTAAAGCATAACGTAAAAAAGCTTGTCTCGACTCGTAGCTGTGATTTATTGCAAGCGGCGCCCTCAGGGTTCCTCAGTAGCGTTAAATTATTCAGCTTTTAATTCGTTATCGCCGCCACCGACTTTACTTCGCTCTACACTATTTACACCTGAATATAATTCATGATTTCGTTAGCGTGCTCCGGATACAAAAAAGGTTTTAATGTAATATATTGCGGTGTTGTGGTGAGTATTTTAAATGAAAGATAAATAAATCTGATATATTACAAATTAAAACACTATTAATGAACCATAAAATATGAGATACTACAAAAGTATAGTTATTATACAACATAGTACTCAATACATCAGCAAATCCAATGTAAACTTTATAAGCCCCATCTACGCAAGCATCAGCAAATTTATTGACACTGATTCTGAGGTGGCTGCGTAGCCTATATTGATAAACTAAACTTGCATCCTACCACAATATACGGGCTAGCGTTAGATATTCATGTAAATTGGACTCACTATACTACAGTATCAGGCCTGTGAACCGCACACAATCTAAAGGATTGCCTCGACAGGATAGACTATCGCTTGCAACTTGGTAGCGACGATAGTTCCGCGCAGTATAGTACATTTAATTAGGACGTCTACAAATTAATCTGTACACAGTGATACAAAGATAACAAGTGACAATCAGAACACAATGGTTAATGGACATGAGAAATGGAGTCCTCAGCGTACTAGATAATATTACGATTACTACATACTACATAACATTACGCCTTTTATCCCCGAAGGGGTAGGCAGAGTTGCACATTACGGCACTTAATGCCACTGTACAATGTAGCACCCACTTTTCACTATTTATGTTACGAGTCCCATGTAATAGGGGGTGAGCCTATTGCCATACAGGTACCGGGCACATTTCCAGACTCCGAGCTGCTACTGAGGTTCTTTTTTTAAAACCCAGTAATACTTTGCCCGACCCGGGAATCGAACCCGAGACCCCTTGTCCGGCAGTCGCACTTGCGACCACTCGGCCAACGAGGCAGTTATTACGATTACTTAAATACATAAATTGGAAAACCAATATTATAATCATTTATCATCAATAGGTGTTACAAATTACGACAGGATATTCTTGTCTAAACATAAAATAAAACTGAAGAAGTATACATATACTATAAGTATAAATATACTAGCCAATAACGGACGTTTGGGATGAGCTTATAACTGAATGTCAGTGTAGATGGGCATCTTCTATTAAGGGCCGCCACCTGTATCAGTTCTTTCCATCCGTGCATGAGCGGCTGGAGAGGACATGGTTGGAGGTGGATCACTGTGTTGCCCAATTTCTTACTGGCCACGGCAACTTTAAAGGCAAATTGTTCTCATTTAAACTTATTGATTCACCATGGTGCCAATGTTCGACAGAGGAGTTGCGATACGAGCAGTCGGCCCATCACATACTCTGGGAGTGTGATCTCTGGCAATATGAACGTAACACTATGTTAAATAATTTAATTGTTTCGTCAGGTGTAG